TTTTTAATACATTTATTTGGGACCCGCCAATTTTTTTTAAGACATGCAAGGGACCCGCCATGTTAAATTTGATGGCTTCGCCACTGCACAGATCACACGTAAATTTTCCAATCATGTAACCAAAGCAATGCATAATTTAATAACAGCTCAAGGCTGATGCGTCAGAAATGAGAGAAAAACTTTTTTTTCGCCGATTTGTCACTAGCACCGCCCCTTAACTTTGACTTTGAGCACATTTGTCATACCGCACAAGGTCTTTTACGCGATGTCTGTTATTTCACGTTTCTCTGTTACTACCTTTGGGCTGATCTACTGGAGGAAGTTAATGTTACACATCAGACTGAAGGTCTTACTCTTGACAAGGTGATGACCAATCTAGAGGGCTTAAGATTATTATTTTTTTCTGCACGAGAAGAGCTGTCACTTGGTGGAACAAGCTTTTGAAATGGCACTTTTAAGATCAGACCAATGTGGAGTTTAGGTAGAGAAAAGATTAAGGTTTAATAAGAGAATGGCAGGAGAAATAGTAACGATCCATCATGGGACGGTCGAGGCTGTCTGATCTGGCTCTATCATCAGTTGAAAGTGATACTTGAATGATATTGATTTTGATGAACTGATTGACAGGTTTGCAGCTTTGAAGACCAGGATAGGAAAACAAAAATAAATAAAAATTGATGTAAAAATAACTATAACTTAACGTTGTTTAAGTTCTTAAAGAAATTTACCTCCTGACCTTAAATTAATTTGTTTTTTTCCTTGGCATTGTTATAATGTGGACTTATTTTAACAAGAAGAAATCCATCGTGGAAGTGGGAAGGAGGGGGGTGACACCATAAGTTTACCGCACCGGGTGATACCATCCCTAACTACGCCACTGAAAATGGGTAAAATAATTTTTAAATCAATAGCCATATGAAGCATTTGTTACATTTGTCTTGGCGCTAATTTTCTAAAGACATTCTAGGGGGCCATTCCTTGTTAATAAGAGCGCAGAAAAGTGACATTTTAGCTACAACACAATCGTCAAATTCCCCAGTGGAACTCTGAGATTGCTCAACATAACTGGTGGCATTCCCAGGTGGTGGTGAGAGTCTTGAGGCATGACCAACGTCTTTGCTACTGTCCCTACAGGTTTCTGGGATGTTCTGGATTACATTTGGCTGGCTGCTGTCGTTGTCTTCTTCTCGTTCTGACAAAACCCGTGCTCTGTCCAACAGACTCCACAGGGGAATGTGCTTGTATGGCTTTAGCATTTTCGGGATCTCTACACCGTCATTTGCTGAACCCAGCAATATCGTTGGTTCAGGTTTGCTATAATTTCTACAATCCATCAGGGCGGTGGGGATGCAGTCCAAAACACTGTCAAATAAACTGTGGGAGAAAATTACACACATTGTTTTACAAATTGAATCGCCTTATGAAGACTTTGTTGATTCAAGTTAAATAATAAATAAATGAAACTAGTTAACGAATGGAAATAAACAAATGAAGACACTGCTGCTGAAAAAGTCATTAGTAAGAATTGTAGTATTTTCTTTGCAAATCATATCCTTCTCCTGCCAATGGTCAGCAATTAGAAGTTCAGTTTGCCCAAAAATATGAAATTTAAAGTTCAAGTTACCGATACAAGATTACGAGTTTGCAGAAAGATATAATGCAACATTGTATATTAATATTTTTTAAACATTAATTGCTTTTTTCTTATTTTTTTTATAAAAATGATACAAATGTTCTCTAACGGTATCGTCTTGCACATTAAAACGATTACGGATATGAATATCTTGTTGTGTTTTTCCTTTGCATGCGAAGATTACCGAAACTATTTCACACGAGAAGTACGCTGGTGGCCTTATACTTATTGTGTTTCAAAAGCTTTCCCGCACGTAGGACGCACTTTGTGTGTGTGTGTGTGTTGTTTTTCTTTTCTTTTGTGTGTGTTTTTTTTTTTTTTTTTTTTTTTTTTTTGGGTTTTTTTTTTTTTTTT